TAGAATTAATATTTGATAGGGCATTGGTTTGTATTATTATTTATTGTAAAAAAAAAAAAGTTATATGTAAAGAACTTACCTTCTATATAGATAACAAAAAGTAAGTAGATTAGTTAGAATTAACGTTCGATAGAGCATTAATTTGTACCATTATTTACTGTAAAAAAAAAAGTTGTATGTAAAGAACTAACTGTAGAAGTGACAAAAAAATAAGTGAATTAGTTAGAATTAATGTTCGATAGGTCATTGATTTGTATCATTATTTACTATAAAAAAATATCATACATAAAGAACTTACAAACTATAGGTGGCAAATAAGTAAATGGATTAGTTAGAATTAATGTTCAATAAGTCATTGATTTGTATCATTATTTATTGTAAAAAAATGTCGTATGTAAAAACTTACAAACTATATAGGTGGCAAATAAATAAGTAGATTAGTTAGAATTAATATTCGATAGGGTATTGATTTGTATTATAATTTACTATAAAAAAATATCATATGTAAAGAACTTACCTTCCATATAGATGACTAAAAGTAAGTAGATTGGTTAGAATTAATATTCAATAGAGCATTGATTTGTACCATTATTTACTATAAAAAAAAATAGTATGTAAAGAACTTACTCACTATAGAGGTGACAAAAAAGTAAGTGGATTAGTTAGAATTAATATTTGATAGGTTATTGATTTGTATCATTATTTATTGTAAAAAAATGTTGTACATAAAGAACTTACTAACTATACAGGTAATAAAAAGTAAGTGAATTAGTTAGAATTAATATTCAATAGAGTATTGATTTGTATTATTATTTACTGTAAAAAAAAATGGTGTATATAAAAAACTTACTAACTATATAGGTGACAAAAAAGTAAGTAGATTAGTTAGAATTAACATTCAATAGGGTATTGATTTATACTATTATTTACTGTAAAAAAAAAGGTTGTATGTAAAGAATTAACTCGCTGTAGAAGTGACAAAAAAGTAAGTAGATTAGTTAAAACTAATATTTGATAGGTCATTGATTTGTATCATTATTTACTATAAAAAAAAAGTTCTATGTAAAAACTTATCAACTATATAGATAACAAAAAAGTAAGTGGATTAGTTAGAATTAATGCTCAATAGGATATTGGTTGTATCATTATTTACTATTAAAAAAAAGTCATATATAAAGAACTTAACTCCTATATAGATGACAAAAATTAAGTAAATTAGTTAGAATTAACGTTCAATAGAGCATTAATTTGTACTCATTATTTACTGTAAAAAAAAAAGTTGTATATAAAGAACTTGCTGTAGAAGTAACAAAAAAATAAGTGAATTAGTTAGAATTAACATTCGATAGGTCATTGATTTGTATCATTATTTACTATAAAAAAAAAGTCATATGTAAAGAACTTACAAACTATATAGATGACAAATAAGTAAGTAGATTAGTTAGAATTAATATTTGATAGAGCATTGATTTGTACCATTATTTACTATAAAAAAATTATCGTATATAAAGAACTTACCTTCTATATAGATGACTAAAAGTAAATAGATTAGTTAGAATTAATGTTCGATAGAGTATTGATTTGTATCATTATTTACTATAAAAAAAAGTTGTATATAAAAAACTTACTCGCTGTAGAAGTAACAAAAAGTTAGTAGATTAGTTAAAATTAATGTTCAATAATTAAGATAAAATATTTGTAGCAGAAAAATTCACATTTAGATGATTTCAAACCTCATAATATAGCTAGAATATAATTGTTTGAAGCATAGCAAAGGACTTACAATAGAGATATAATATACAAGCGTATATTTATTTGCGCTGGTAATACAAATCTAAAAAAAGAAATTTTTCTATGTAGATTGCAAGATCAGATACAATCTTTGTATAATGTAAGATTGAAGGCTTTTTCAAAATATTGCCAGTAACTCAAAATTTTGCTTAAAAAATCACCTTTTATGTTCTAATAAAAAAATTTCTGGCCAAATTTTACTATACAACTCTTCTTATATTAACATTAACTCTAACTCTAATGCTAGCAAAATTTTACATGCTTTTAGCAAAATAACAACAAATGAATATTTACTATTGGCATATGATTTGTGTTACTAGTACAAATAAGAAACCATAATATACAAAATAAATATCACTTTGATAGACAATATCATGTGTGGTTAGCCTCTTTATTATTGGCTGTCCAATCTTTGTAGATAATAAGATTATACTAAATTACATTAACTTTTTTTTTCATATATATATCCTACTTCTATTATGTTATATTTTCTAGGCTATTTTATTTTGGCTGCCATTTGTGCTTGATAAAGCTCTCACTATACTTGATGAACAAACTGAAGTCAATAATAATAACACAACCAATCCTATCACTCAGGATATCTATATTTTTGTAAACAAAGAAGGTTTAGACAATAATCTTGACATTAATATAACAAATAACTCCTATGATAATATCAATTTTAGTGATGAAGAAAGCAATTTTGATAATCTGAATATATTTGCAACATGGTTTCCAATTAATAAAATAGCATACTTTTCTACTAATATATATAAAGGAAAATTACTATCAAAGCAGCAATGTTCCAACATCCTCAGAAAAGAACCAAGAAATATGAATATTAAATACAACCCTCTCGCAATAGACAGATATATATAGAAATTCTTATCTAATAATACAAAAGAATTTGACAAAGTTCTTGCAAGAGTTTTCTACAAGATCTCAGCCATATTATATCTATTGAAAAATGTACTTAAAGCTGTGTACTTGTCAAAATCACCACCATCTGAACAAGATGCCTTGCAAGCATAAACAGCAATTAAGAAGTTACTTAAAAATATCAGAGTACTGTTGCTCAATTCTTTATCATTTTATTAATAAAACTAGGTATAACTAGGTTATTAAAATTATCTTACCTGCATATAATCTATTGATTGACAATAAGAAAGTTTTTGAACAAGAACTCAAATCGATCATTAAGAAAAAGAATGCTACAAATAAATTTATCAACAAGGTTTTAGAAACAAAAACTGTACTACATCAAACAGAAACAGCACTAGTTATAATTCAAGACCATCTCACTTTTGCTTCAATAACAGGAATAGTCATAGTAGACATAGATCATATTGGTTTTATAACTTTAACAATAACAACTAGAGAAATGAACAGAGAGGTAGCCTGTTAACTTAACCAGGTTGCCTCAATCAAGACAGCCAACAATAATCTCATCATATCAGAATACTTTCATATTAGCTGGATATTTGACAAAATTTATAAATCATTAGAGATATTTGTTTAGATAATCATAGGTAATATCATTATTAGAGAAAGGTTATATAGCAGAATAGTTATTTCAACTGATATTAATGAAACAATCATTAAGTTACCATCAACACAGAATAGTAGAAAAAAACATCTAATTGCATAAGAACTAGATAGATTGGTAAAGAAAGATGATATTATCAAAGTTTTATCACAAGCACTATACTATATTTTACCAATCTTTATAATTCTCAAGAAATCAGAAAAGAACAGGATAGTAATAGACTTAAGATATTTGAACAATTATATTTGTTTTATTTACTTCAAAATAGAAACTATAGAACATGTAAAAATCTTGATAAGAAAAAATAATTTCTTTACTTCTGTAAATATTACAAATGCTTTTTTGCACATGCTTTTGTTACAGTAAATACAATACTACTTTATTTTCAACTTTACTCAACAGAGATATTATTATATTAACTTACTTTTTTGGTTAACCAGCAGCCTGAAAATTTTTACAAAGGTTTTAAAACCAGTCATTGCTCTGGCCAGATCAAGAAAAAAAGATTAATAGCCTATTTCGATGATATTCTAATCTGTACAAAGACAAAAGAAGAAGCAAAACACTATACAAAAGAAGTAATCAATCTTTTGATAAACCTAAGATTCATTATAAATCAAAAAAAGCCAATACTGATTCCAGCTCAGAAGATCAAATACTTAGAGTTCATGATAAATTTCAAAGCAATAACTTCAGCTTTACCCAAAACAAAAATAGCAGATATTCTCAGATAATACAAAGCTATACTCAACTATCAGGTTATATATATAAAAAAACTAGTAGCTATAATAAGAAAGCTCTTAGCTGCTACTGGTGTGATATTTTCTGCTCATCTAATAACAAGAGCATTAATAAGAGACAAGAACAAAGCTCTAAAAACAATGGTTAAAATTGTACAATAACTCTATCAACAGAGAATCACTAACAACTTCTATGATAAATCTAGAATCTAAAAAATTGAAATGCTATAAGTCTAATTTCTGATATCTCAACAACAGTAATATACACAGATGCTTTCATAAAAGGCTAGAGAGTAGCTCATGAAACTTGGCTCCTTTTTGGATATTAGGATAATCAAAATTAATTTATATAAATATCTTGAAGCTAACTGCTATAAAGTATACCTTCTTGGTACTAAAAGATCAAAAAAACCAAGCAGTAATAGTAAGAACAGACTGTGCAATATGCGTATTTTATTTGAACCATCAAGAGAAACAATATCACAAGATCTCAGTTTATTAGCAGAAAAAATTTGAAAACTATGCCTGTCACAAAATCTTAGACTAATAGTCTAGTATATTTTAGACAAAATAAATGTTTTAGCAGACCTAGCATTGAGAAGAGCTTTTGATCACTATAACTAGATGTTAAAATCTCAAATTTTTCACAGAATAGAAAAAATTTTGGGTTCTTTTCAAGTGGATCTATTTGTAAATCAAATAAACTCTCTGTTGCTAAAGTATTTTTTTATCATCTGGACCTTTGTTGTCTAGCAATCAATGCTTTAATTCAAGATTAATCAAATTTAAAGAGTTGGGCCAACTCATTTTGGATCATAATACACAAGATTCTTTTTAAGATGATTGAGAACAAGGCAACAATTGTGATATTTGATTCTTTACTAGACTATAGCCCTATAGTTCCTAACTCTATTGAATTTACTAATAAACTTACCAGCATTAATAGTAGACCAAATTCTTTTGTACTAGAATAAATAAGTCTTCAACAATCTATATGTGACCCCCAATAAGAAAATATTTGCATATTATATCTCAAAGAAAACCTCCAAAAGGAGGGTTTTTCAGAAAAAAACTACTAAATTGGTTGAAGACACAATGTCAAAATTATCAAATTCAATAGTAGAATCATCTATTAGAAAATAGACTATTTGGTAGCAGGAATCATCTATCGATCCTATACAATATCTTTTGAATTATATATTTGATTTTCTGACAGATATAAATAATCAAAGCCTTGTATTTAATATTATAGCATCTTACCGATCTGCTATTAGTAAAATACATAAATTAATTGACAATATACATGTCAGATCTATCTAACTATTGCAAAATTAATGATAGCTATATATAAAAAAACTCTCTAATATCTTCACCAAAGTATACAATTGATATAATACCTTGTCTAAATCATATCACAGCTATAGGCTTAAACAAAAAAATACTGATGATCAGATTACTCAAGAAAACAGTATTCCTGATTGCAGTTATATTAGTAACCAAACCAAGTGATTTATATCGCATATTTTTAAAATTGATAATGATATTACAAAATAGTTTTCATTTAAAATTATTGACCCTAAGTAAAGTAATATATCTATCACTCATAGAGAAAATAAATCAAGACATAAGATATTGATCATTAAATATTACAGAAAAGATCTCTCTATTTGTCTAGCCTCAGCATTGTTGAAGTTGATCGAATAAACAAAGGACTAGAGAACAGACAAAGCTAAAAAAAATGCTTATTTTTAATATCTACAAGCCTATATTCACCGGCCACACTAAATACTATATCGAACTGACTAAAAAACTTACTAACGATCACAGATCCTTTTGCAAAAATGAAAATATAAAAGCAATATCTGCTTACTTAGCACAGGAAGCAGAGGCAAACATCAACTCAATCATGTTCTTTGGAAACTGGTAATTGAATAAGGTGTATCATAGATTCTATCAAAGAGGTATTAAAAAGTTATTAGAGTGAAATTACATGACAAACAAGATTATAGATCAAGCAAAATAAAATTAATTATTCTACAAACTATATGTGATATTGTCTATTAAAGCTTGCAATATTTATTTTGACCAATAGTCAAGTATTAGTAAAGATCATTAGGAAATAGACAAGTATGCAAAGATAGACAATATTTCACTACATTTACTTGATATAATAAATAATACTTTGCAAAAATTATTGTTACCCACCCTTATAAATACATTATATTTTATACACTATAAACAAATAGAAATATTACATATTTACATTCTTCATATTATAGATGTATAAGTTAGAATTATTATATAGATTACATAACATTATGGTCTAGAAAATATTGCATAATAGAAGGAGAGTATATATATAAAAAAAGTTAATGTAATTTAGTATAACCTTATTATCTACAAAGATTGGGCAGCCAATAATAATAAGGCCAACTACATGTGATATTGTCTATCTTTGTATGCTCATAAATGATCTTTGCTAATGCTCAACCATTAGTTAAAATGTCTTGGGTTCTGCTCACATAATATTGACCAATCAGCATTTAAAATATATAAAAAAATCAACATAGATTAGCCCAACAAGACAGAAGATCCTGTAAAAAATTATATACGTATTATAGCTTTAGATACTAACAGCACCTATTTTTCTAGTACATATCAACCTGTAACTGACCATAATGATTTACTATGATCAGTTACAGGTTTTTGCTCTATAGTACTCGTTTATACAATTACTATATCAATATTACTGTATTAATTAGTAATATTGAGTTTAATATTCATTGATTGGATCACAATCACCTCATCGCAAATTTCTTCTGCCACCACTATTCAACTAGCACGCATTTATTTTGCATAGTGTTGAGTCTGATGTCAATTCAGATATCCGAATAGTCATCTGTGCTCAAAAATAGCTGTCTGAAAAGAACAATAGATATCCATTAGAACTGTTTTTATAAATTTTGGACAAATAATTTTTTGGCCGATTCGGTTAAGTTATTGATTTTGGCATAATAGATTCAATATGAAATTTAAGATCAGATGACTAATATAAAATTTCTATGTTTGTTCTAAAATTGTTCAGAATGGAGTCGATTTTCTGAACTGGGATTTATTTTTATACTGTTTCATTATGATGTTTGTACG